CAGACTCCCTCCTGCAACAAATGTACATTTTCCTTAGGAGCGTGACGAGCAACATAAGAGATCCAGAACCGACCACACCGGCAGAATTCATCGTTCAGTTCCTTAAACCTTCATTTACGGTTTCCCTACAAACAGCTCCATGCCTTGGATATGCGTCTGTTTTCTTCCTTACGAACATCACATTTTACGTTCGTCAGGGTCAGAGTCTTCGTAGCAATCTTTCATATTCAGCACGTAATGATCCAATCATGGACACCAGCTGCATTAGCCTGGCTTGTCGTCCTCGCGGCAGCCTGGGCAAATGGCCCAACGCGATTTAAGTATGCTGCTGCTTGCGGCCAAGAAACAAGCATTCCAAAACTGTCATATCATCCCCTGGTTTCGTTGTATTTNGGTTTGCATACAAGTCGACGTGGATACTACCTGCTGTGACCGCCGTATCAGAAGACACTTTTCCTGTACGGGCGGAACCAACAACAGCGAAGTTCAAAAAACCCGACTAGTAGCTAAAACTCAGCATTCATAGAGTTAAACGTCCCCGTCCGTGACTTGTACATAACAATCCAAGCATCTCCTAAGCGTCTTTCTCCCCCTTCGTAAGGCCATCGCGTCCACCAACGCACGTCTTACATCCGCCCAGTACAGTGCCGTTGAAGCTGTGACGAGTAATATGAACGCTTAAGTAATTCATGAACATCCGCTGCGTTTGCCTAGCATTGTCGTAAAGGAGGTCGCGTCGGCATCAGGCCATCAACGTTGCGCCCAGGACAACACTTGCTGCAGCCAAGAAACAGAAAGTATATCTCTATTCGTTCATCCCCTTGGTCTTAGGGTTGCCCCTAAGACGACGTACATACCACCTCCTGACACCGCCGTACCGGAAAGCACTTTTCCGGTACGGGCAGAGCCAGCAGCATTCCAGGTTCAGAATTGAACCCAAAGGCAGAAATCACCATTCTGAGAGTTGAACGTCGCCATCCATGATTTAGACATACCATTCCATGGCCTGTGCATGCGCGTCCATGTCCTTCACTACGTTGCTGCTTGCGGCCAAGAAACAAGTGATGCAAAACGTTGCCTCATGTCCATCCGTCCGGTCCACACACGTAAGAGCAATTTCCATAACACGGATGTAAGCACCGTTCGGGATGTCCGTCGTGTTTGCCTCAGGAAGTCGTCCTCCCGGCGGCGGATCGGGCCCTAAGCACCGGCCGGTACCAGCTGGTACCAGCTCCTGGAGCCGCTTAATCGATGCTGATCGTGATGTGTAATTGGTCCAGCATAAAGCACATTCTTCATCATCCGGAAGGGATCCCTTAGCCGTAGTACATGTAAAGGATGCGCAGGACAAGCAGTGTAAGAGGTACTCGGAAAAAAACGCAAAAAAGACTGTTCCGTCCAAATAGCTAACAAGCTGTACCTTAGCGGAATGCAGGGCGCTTCTAACATACATGCCACCCTTTGGAAGTCATGTTGTAGGCTTGTCCTGTTTGGTTTATGTTGGCATTGCATTAAGAAGTTCAACGCGATACCTGCAGGTTAACTGTTTACTGATAATTAGTTATTCGGCGGCGTGCGCATATCATTCCCTTACTTCGCCGGCAGGTCCATGGAAAGTCCCCGAAAAGATTACATAACGTTGCAAAACTCCTTTCAGTGCTTTCGGAAAAGAGGTCCTAGATCTTGAGACCCTGGTAAGCCAGAAATCGCTGACGGCTAGCGCTGTAATAGCCAGTTCACATGCTACGTTACGTTGAAACTTTTTGGAAAAAGTGGTCGGTTCGGACGTGGTAACGGTACGTTACCGGTAAAGTGGACGAAAAGTCTAAAGTGACCAGGGGGGGGGGGGTTCAATTTCGTCAAACGCTGACCCCTCGTACCGTTACTTGAAATGCGTCGCCAATTTCGCGAGTTATAACAAACGGCCAAGCCCAATCGCTTATAAAGACCACATACTTGACAAATTGTGCGCGCTTTGCACTCCGACTGAATTTCTAGTCACACCGCTGCCTTATATTATAAAAATGAACAAGGATAACGCCGCTCGTGTTGCTCGACCGCTCACGACCGCTTGCATAGCCAATATGTAACCCATTGTAGTATCAGGGCTGAAGCCACCCGCGAAACGGCAAGTCGGCCGCACTTCCGGCGGCATGGGCCGCGCCGCGTCGGCCCACACGCTCAATCTCTGCCACTGAGCATTGAACATATCTTCAAGATTATCAAAAATTTTATCCAGCGCGACCGCTAGGGCAAACGCCATCGCGGCTCGCGCGGGATGCAGTGCCATTGCAGTAGGCAGGGCTGCCAATCACCCTTCAAATATATATTGCAATTCTAAGGGGATGTTCTGAAGTTTTGGCCATTGAAAGACATAAAATGGAGATGGTTTTACACAGCTCGCGCCAACGAATACAACGTCGTCGTAATGTCCCGTGTGAACTGGGTGACTTTCTCAGGGCCACTTTTACCTAAAAGTTTTCGCAACGTAACGTAGCATGTGAATCCAGTATAAGCGTACCTTTTCCATCTCCTGTATTTTCAAAGCATACACACGCGCGATACTTAAGATTACGAAAATTTTAAACAGTTTAACAGTTCATGTGGAAACGTTTGCGGTGCAACTGGCGCGAACAGGACACCAGAGGTCACAGGAATTACAGCTCTTATGACTACTAGCAGTATGTGTGCGTGGTTGTTACAGCAGTAGATCTTAGGGACGAGGGGTACCTGACGGCAATGCATGGGCTCCATCGATGCATGTGCCTCGGCATGAAGGGTGAATACAATACGTTTCATATGCACAGACCTCATAGTTTGCAGCATTTTATGGAAGGTCAAATGTGTTTCGCACGCAGCAGCTAGTGCAGCTTTGGCCCGAACACTGTATATACGAGCGGCCTACATAAAGGCATACCTTTATACAACGATTATAGGCTCTCACAGCTTTGCTTGCGTACACATGGTAACCTATAGCCTACAGGCCTATAGACCATGCTGTATACAACAGATCGCCTATAGGTGTGATGTATACGATCATATACGCGAAATCACCTATACTCCACATATTCCGCGGTCCTACCTATTAGGCGATGGCCCGGCCTATAGGTGACTTCCAATTTTAGAGACGGTGTAGGCCTCGCCTGGAAACGCAAAAACTCCTGGAGCTTGCAACCTGCAGGCATCACATTTCAACTTGCAGTAAGCATTGTGGCTTGCTATCAACTAGGCACCAAAAACAGCATGCTTAGAAACAGTGAGTAATGCTGGTAAACACTGGTAACACTGGCCAATGCTGGTAAAAACGCACCCGAGAGGTTCACCGCGAGGAAGGTCTCCACCTCTGAAGACAAACTTTTCTCAGGTGGCTTTTCACTATTTGCCTCTGCATACTTGTCTAGGTGGTCAAGGTATGAGACGCCCATCTCGAACGTGCCCGTTGATGGCTCGTCAAGAGGAACACTCTGCCTGCACTCCACATTCACCACTGGCTCATTGTCTGTGAATAATTTATCATTGTTGGCGACGTCTCCACCGGCAACGCAGCAGCCAGGCAGCGTTGACTCGATAACATCCTTGCAGCCATAGGGGTTGCGAAGGAGATGCAGGCGCAGCTCCTTGAACTCTCGTCCACAGTGAGGGCACCTCTGGGTGGACATATTGATGACCAGTCGCGGCAGGTGAGAATGCTCAGTGAAAGTCTGGCATTTGACCAGGGCCTCTCCCAATGTGATAACCAGTGAAGTAATTGCGACACCTGTGTCACTATCTAATTATAGGAAATTACACTAAATAGATTTGCTGTAACGTCCTCCAGGAATGCGCAGAATGTCTCGCCGAGGCCTGGGCACTGCTTCACTAGCTGTGGCTGCACTACATAAACAAGTTCCGCTGCCAGCTCAGCATCAAAAGCAATACCATTTTTCGTGATAAACACTGCCTGCTCTTCAAAAGCCGACCAATTTTCATCGAGAAGGTTCAAAATAAAAGTGGAGTCCATAATTTTAAATTAAGCAGATAAACCGAGGCCTGATAGGCAATGCTGACAACCTTCCCTGATAGACGAATCTTCTTCAATTTCAATCTGCCGTACTCGCGTCCCTCGTAAGGGACGCGAGTACGATACAGCTGCTCAAGACCACCGACAAAAATGATAAAAGCTCTGCGGTTGCTCATAAGCTATCATAGAATTTCGTAGCATATCCAACTGCATATGCTGATGTTGTGGCGCCAAAATGGATGTCAGCTATGCTGTGGTCAGATTTGTGCAACTCGGCAGGAAGCAGAAGGATATTAAACAACAGCTTTTATTGTCAGCTAATGATCTTGCATTGACTTGCGGGTTATGGGTGGTGTTACACCACGCATCCATGCATACATGGCAAGGGTGGTGGAGTTGGAATGGCTGTTCATCACAGCCTGTGCTGGTGAGAGTTTTCAAAACCAGCCGGCCTGTGCTGGGAAGTTGCCAGACATTGCAGTTATAAAGGACCATGACGAGCCTTTGTTGTGGGCTTGTCGATGAGGGATGGGCTTCACTGAAGTCTGCCCAATTATCTCAAACTGCTACAGTTTTGTGGTAAGGAAGTGGGAGAGGCTGGGCACTGCCTGGTCCCCACAGCATGTGCTGGGGTTTTGTAAGTATGGCGATAATCGTTACATGCCAGGCAGTGTTAGCCTGCCAGAACCTTGCCAACATTGATGCAGAACAGACATCAGCTCAGCGGCATGGTTTAACCCAAGCAGACACTCTCCAGCATATTGAACTCCTCTCACCGTCTACCCATCGTCTATCCTTCGTCTACAAGAGATGAATCGACTACAGACGACATGCATAGACGACTCGACTTTAGACGAACTATTGTAGATGACTCGTCTAATAGACGGGTCTTCAGGATATAGACGACCGGAAAAAATACAGACGATCTTGCAGGCTGGCACTTGAGGGACGCGGTCTTCCCCTGGTTGATAACACCAATCCTAGTGAGGGCCTGCTCGCCATGGCGGAGACGCTAGCATCTGCCCAGGAGGCAGGGCCGTCCGGCCAGCAGCAGCGGCCCAGTACCACGGTGAGCCAGCTGCCATGGCATCCCAATATTCGCTTGTTAACTTCCGGGTCCGAGTCTCATTGGATGGGTTTGTTGCCTGCAAACCCTCAGGGTCGTAAACCGTGGAGGCATGTGTACTATGAAAAGCTGGACCGCTTTTACACGCTGGATGGTGCACTTGGCTCACGCAATACTCAAGGGGGCATGGACAACCGTGAGGAGTGGTCCAAGCTGAAGCTGGAGCTTGAGGCGCTGGAGAAGAAGCATAAGATTACGAAACGGTGGCAGCCTGACAGCCATGAGTACACTGTTGCAGCACGTGAGCGGAAGGCATATGAATTGGCACGGTTGGAACGTGCTGCTTCGGGCCTGGCAGCTACACTGGCCGGCCTGCAAGACCGGCTTTACCGTCGGGGCTCACTTGCACTAACCAAGAAAGAGTGCAACAAGCTGAGCAGGGGCTGCTCGGCCGCCAAGGCCAGCCTGCTATCGGTGCTGGGGCAGATGAGGCGCTGGCTGGGGTACATCACCGTTGTGCCTTGGGTCACGTACAGTGTGCCAGCAGTCGATGCAGTGATTGCTTCCCTTGAGGGTGAGGCAGCTGTCCCGGTTGTCGAAACTGCTGGGAAGGCTGACAGACAGGCTGGCGGGGCAGGCATACCTCGGGCACCAGCCCGTGTGCACCTGCCGTGGGAGGGTGATGAGGTGATGTCGTGGGAGGTCAGTGTGGCAGATGACCTCGCGCAGCGCTGGCTCCGTTGCAATGAGGAGTGCACCATTGTGGAGCGTGAGCTCCGTGACATGGTCATTTACTACACGCGTAAGATAAGCCTTCTGCGTGCTCAGAGGGAAGTTATCCGTGGGCACATTGCTGTTCTGCAGCAAGATGCGGGTGGAGGGGGGAATGGGCAGCAGCAGGGCGAGATGCATGGCCAGCAGGATGCTGTGGAAGCTGCTCTGCAGCATGCATTCAATGGCCACCAGATTTACCTGCAGCAGCGCCAATACACGCCCGTTGGTTTGGCCAGGGAGGCGTGCACTGTGTTGGCAGGAAAGGCTGTTGTCACGGAAGAAGAGGTGGTGAGGTTACAGAAGCTGCTGGATGCCGCTGCATCCACCCAAGCTAAGGCATGTGTAATGCTTGGCAGGTCGGCCATTGTCCTGGAAGCTGGACACCCTGAAACGGAGGTATCTGATGAAGGCCAGAGCAGCGGAGATGAGGAGGAGCCCATTGCACTCGATGAGGTGTTTGAGGTCGGGGAAGAGCCCCTCGATGTGGAGGAAGACGTGGTCCCCTAAGTGACGCCTTGTGTATGGAGACTGTTGTACTTCCATGTAGACTCTGTGCTCGATAAGCTGTTAGAGGCTGGATGTGCCAAACTCGGATTCTTACTGTAAAACTACTCGGATAACCATTTTCATGTACGGGGAGTCTAGTTGTGAAGTCAGATTTTCAATTGGGGATGATCGGCGCTTTCTGGCTGGGCAGGGCTATGCCCTCCGGCCTGGCCTTGAAGGCCCGTGCGTCAGGGGTCTGCCATATGCCAAACTCGGATTCTTACTGTAAAACTACTCGGATAACCATTTTCATGTACGGGGAGTCTAGTTGTGAAGTCAGATTTTCAATTGGGGATGATCGGCGCTTTCTGGCTGGGCAGGGCTATGCCCTCCGGCCTGGCCTTGAAGGCCCGTGCGTCAGGGGTCTGCCATATGCCAAACTCGGATTCTTACTGTAAAACTACTCGGATAACCTTTTGATGCCCTGCGAGACATTACTCCGACCTGGGCCCAGGTCTACAGATACACGACGGATCAGGTTTACCACTCGGTGAAGAACAAACTGTTCCCCCTTAATTAGCCCATTGAATTTCCGTCCTCCTAAAAACGAAACCCATATTGCCAAAGAGGCCACCGGCATTTAATGCTAGCCATAACGACGGGAGATGTAGGACTTTCTGTTGCCTTGCTTGCTGGCAGCCCGTACTGGCCGCTTGGAGGACCCACCCATGCACGTCACGTTGTATCCACTCTCACTCTGTCCCTCCTCAGTCATGCCATCCTGGCTCCCTTCCTCCTCCTCGTTCCCTCCCTCCTCTTCCCCTCCCTCCTCGCCGCCTCCGTCCTCGCCCCTTCCCTCCTCCCTCCCTCCCTTCTCCTCCTCCTCCTCCTCTCCCTTATTGCTGTCAGTCTCCTCGCTCGACTGTAGCAAGCTACATTTACCTTAGAATATCTTTAAGCTATTAAAGCTTAATCACAGTAACGGTACGGTCCCGTATTTACGAACCATACTCGTTAACTGTACGAACTCACTTTCTGGTACGCTATCACAACCTAGCGTACGACACCAAGACTCCAGGAATGGAGATGGCGGCAGGTGGGCCGCATTTAAGCCACCCAGGTGAAGTGCTTCGGCCAGACACTTAACGTATCACTATACTAGTGTTCAGGGTTCAAGACCTTGCTGTCACCGTTCTCGACGTATGTCTTCGAATCCCGACTTCCCTTGTCTCTTCTCACGCCTAACGCTGGGTCGCCAATCGTGGACGAGACCCTCTACTTCCGCTAAAACAGCTAAGGTAAGAGACGGCTGTTACATTTTGGTATCGACGATCATTTGTTCGGTCCTCGCCTCACATTGCGCCGCAGCAGTTACTCGCCCATTGTCTGAGTCTTAGACTCGACTTTCTGGAAATGGTTCCTAAGCCTATAGCTAAGACTAAGGCTGTTTCTTTGAGCGATGCTAAGCACGTTCCTATTCCGCGACCGAAGTCTAAGACTACGGCGCAA